TTCCCTGGATTTGTCCGCGGCGGCCTTCCATTCTCGGTTCCAACGAGCCGTCGTATCCTCAAGGGCCTTGACCGCATGCTCGTATTCCGTGTTGGATGTTGCAACCGAAATCTGTGTTTTCTCAAGCTTAGCTTTGTTTTTACGCTCCTCCTGGCCCATGACCATATGTCCCTGAGCGAGGTAACCTTTGATCTTCAGGCATTCCTGTTCGTAACGATCTCGTGTCTGCCGAGCTGTCAGTTAGCATACAGCTCGATCCCCTATACTTTTCGTACTCCAGGTGGCTGTGCTCAAGTACAGACCTTGTTTACGTGCTGCGTCTGCTGAATCTTCGTCTTCAGTAGCTTTTCGATACCGTTCTGCACGATCTTCCTCCTCTCCTTCATCCCCCCAGCAAAGGCACCAAGCGGTTCTTCCAGTTCACTCTTCATCTGCGCAGCATTATTCTGGTGCTGTTTGGCCATGGCCTCGACCTCCCCTCGCAAAGTGTCGAGTGACGTTCTAAGGCTACCCATCTCTAGGGAGCCAAGCGGTTTGCGACACAGTGATAGCAATTTCCGTGCGTAATCATCTTCAATCGACGCTCGTGCTTTTCCACAATCAGCAACTAAAACTCCGCGCCAGTGCTCAGAGATTAATCTCACCGCTGTAGAATGCTTTCAGTTCGTCAGAAGTCTGCTTCGCTGCGAGCATGCGCTCCAGGAGAGGTTGGACTCCGGCATCCTCCTTTCCCCAGAAATTGTTGGCAACTGCTTCCGTCAGCATACACCTAAAGTATCAAGACATTTGTACATACAGGACAGAGACACAGCTGGTCCGTCCACTGAAGCTGCTGGCATGTCGTGCAATGGGTTCAACGCAACCTTGTATTCGGAGTACTTTTGGGCTCTTAATTATTCGAAGGAAACTGCGACGTCAGATTCGACATCGACCGACTTGGTCGACTTTTTGCGACTGGAAGAGGAGTACGGTTGTACTTGAAAAGACAAGTCATGCAATTTGGAATAGATGGTTATCGTTTGCCCAGAAAGCGTCACTAGGTACGACTGTTCTACGTGCGTACCATTCATCAATCGCTTTGTTGAAAAGGGTGACAGTTACCACAGCAACGTGGAGCTTGCAGGCCACTGAGCAAGATTGAGGCCCACTCTTACTTAGGTAGGTAGGTACCTGTCGTCATTCACGTGCACGTGAGCCAACTCCTGGGCCTGACACGTGCCCTCTTCTGCCCCATCCTCTCAATTGGAAGCCTGGCGAATTACCTTGCAGGACCTTCCTGACTCGTAGCCCCGCCAATGCCTGGCAACCCAATAACGCTGGCTTCTTGTAGTCAGGGTACGTACATCGACCCAGAAGGGAAAGGAGCCCAAGGCTGCCGCTGCCGGGCCTACTTTGACCCCAGCTCCAGTGCTTAAGCCAATCAATCATCCTGCATCTGGCCCATTGCACTCTTTCACACCTGTCCCATTGCACCACGAGTCTGCCAATTTCTCCTCTCACGACCTTACCTTTCTCGCCCTTGGAAAGTTCTTATCACGACACGACCGGCGTATTGAGCCAGCAACCGCACGTAACGAGACGCTATAACTTCGGCACACGGGCGACTATCTTGTCAGCGATCACCACGTTCTCGCCATCTAGGGGACGTACTATAGCCTTATTGTACGCTCTCCAACGGGGGACTGTCTGTCAGGAGACCCTCAGTCGCCCGCAACGACGTCTTTAACCTCTAACGGTTTTTTCTCTCAGGCATTTCCTGCCTGAACGTTCTCAAACACCTTTTGGCCGAGTCGATTACCTGCCGCGCGCCTTCCCTAATCAGTGACCGATCTACGACATTAGATTGGTATCGACACGCATCCACGGACATCTAGCGGTCAGGTGGCTCAGTGAGCAAGCTGCTCTGTTCGACCTGAACAGAAGCTCTGCCTGCCCTATCGCTCCCTGTTCCGAAAAGTACTCCATGGTGCCGCCATCAAGAGCGGGATCTTTTTCACCAAATCCTGCACAGACTCTGCAGACAGGAAACATCCACTCGCCCAACCCATCGCAAGGAGGGCAGTTTAGCTCGGGCGCGAGTCCCAGCACGCATAGCCCGACCGGAACCAATCCACTGGCTAAGATTGTCGTTGCTCAGATATACCTGCTTTTGAGTACCATTAAGGAGGATAAGGGTCGCGTCAAACGGGAGACCCAGGCGGATCAGCTTAAAAAGGTATGTCCCCCCCTTCATCACGTTAACTAGCATCTAACGACTTGGCGCCTGCTGCAGCTCCTCGATGATCACGGCATGGAGGTGTTTTCTAAATACTTCACCCGGCTTGTTGCCGGCAACGCTGGCCAGATTTTTCCTGGCTTGACGCGACCGGTCTCGAATCCTGGGAACTACCACCTCCTTGTCAATGAAATGCGAAATATTGCTCACGATGCGAATCAAGCAATAAAAATTGCCGAATCCATCGATTCTGGTACAGAGGATATATTCCGTGATTTTGACCTGTCGACTTTCATGGAACATTTTAAACTTGATGCTCTCGAGAAGACCATACTTGCGCTTGCATTCAAGCTTGGGTCGCGATCTGACCTGAAGACCAAGGGTAAGTTGCCTTGCTGCGATCTGGTCTTCTCGTCACTAATGTATTTCCTAGCCGATGCCATCCTCTCAACGAACTTTCCTACTTTTGTCAACATTATCGCTCGTCCAGACCTCGAGGAGCATGCCGACTTGACCGACTCATTCATTGCCACTATCGTCGACCGCTTCATTCAGTACCAACCACCTAACTTCAATGCAGCCTCGAAATCTGAGCTAGCTTTCAAGGTGAAATCTCGCTGGGACGGTGATCAAGCGCCTCCTCCATCTGAAGTTCTTGCTGCCTTGGACTTAGTTAGAGTTCTAGCTGACAAGCCGCCTAATGCCCTCGCCACCTACATACAGCGTACGGGTGCAGGGTTTCACGAAGGATCACGATGCCTGCGTTTCATACCTGCAGAATCGGCCAACTCATGTGCAACTCTCCGAGAGCAAGTTTCCATCGCACTCACATATTACACCATCAGTCAAACGC